AACTTTTAGAAGAAAATGTAGGTGGAAATCATTACGCTTTTGGGTTAGGCAGTGGTTTGTTAGAAATGACAAAAGCCCAAGTGAAAAAAAAAATTGTGCTTCATTAAAAGTAAAAATGTGTGTTGCGTGCCTGGGTGACTCCATTGGTCAGGCATCCAGCTCTGTAATTTCAGCTTGGGTCATGATCTCAAGGCTGTGGGATTGAGTCCCATGCCGGGCTCCATGGTCAGTGAGGAGTCTGCTTGAGATTATCTCTCTTCCTGTCCTTCTACCCCATTTGTATACTTGCACTCTCTCTCTCTATCATAAATAATAAAATCTTAGAACAAAAGTAAAAATGTATGTGCTTCAAAAGATACTATCAAGGGCACCTGGGTGGCTCAGTCAGTTAGGCGTCTGCCTTTGGCTCAGGTCATGATCTCTGGATCCTGGGGTCAAGTCCCGCATGGGTCTTCCTGCTTAGCGGGGAGTCTGCTTCTCTCTCTCTCTCCCTCAGCCCCTCCCCACTGCTCATTCTCTCTCTCTCTCAAATAAATAAATAAAATCTTTAAAAAAAAAAAGATGCTATCAAGAAAGTAAAGACTATCCACAGAAAGGAGGAAGTATTTGCAAATTAGATACCTGATAAGAGACTTGACCCTAAAATGTAGAAAAAACTTTCATTGATAAAAAGAAAAATAACCCACTTTATAAATGAGCGAAGCATTTTGCATAAACATTTCTCCAAAGAAGATCTATAAATGGCCAAAAAGCACATGAAAAAGATGTTTAACATTATTAGTCTTCAGGGAAATCAAATCAAAATTTACACTGACTAGGATGACTAGAATCAAAAAGACAATTTTTTGGTGGTGAAGATGTGGAGAAACTGGAACCCTCATACATTGCTGTAAAATAGAAAACAGTTTGGCAGTTCCTCAGATGTTAAATATAGAGAGAGGTGTATCACAGCCCAAGAGAACTGAAAACTTAAGTCTACATAAAATCTTATACATGAGAGTTCATCGTAGCTTTGCTCATAATAGGCCAAAAGTGAAAACCCAGACGTTCATCAGCTGATAACAAATCAATAAAATGTGGTATACGCACACAATAGAATATTTTTAAGCCATAGAAAGGAATGTAAAGTTCTGATACATGCCACAACATGGATGAACCTTGAAAAGATTTTGCTAAGTTAAACCAGACACAAAGACCGCAAGTTTTATGATTCATTTATATGAAATGTCCGGAATAGGCAGACCCATAGAGACAGAAAATAGATTAGTGGTTGGTTACCAGGATCCGGGGGTAGGGGAGAGAGTGGCTGCTAATGGATATGAAGTTTATTCTGGTGATAATGAAAACCTTCTGGAATTAAATAGTAGTGATGGGTGCATGATTCTGTGAATACCTTCAATGACACAGAATTGTATATAATTGACCCTTGAACAACATGGGTTTGAACTGTCCCTTTCCATTGATATGTGGATTTTTTAAAAGATAAGTACAGTACAGTATCAGAAATACAGTTTCTCCTGTGATTTTCTTAACATTTTCTCTAGCTTGCTTTATTATAAGAATATAGTATTTGGATAGAATACATGTACACATCCAAAACATTTTGACTGTTATCGGTAAGGCTTCTAGTCAACAGTAGGCTCTTAGTAGTTCAGTTTTTTGGAAGTCAAAAGTTACCTGCAGATTTTCAACTGTGTGGGAAGGTCAGCACCACTAGCACTCATGTTATTCAAGGGTCAACTGTACTTTAAAAAGCTGGACTTTGATATGTGAGTTATATCCCAAAAGAGCTGATATTTAGTAAATTTCTACTTTTTTAAAGAAAATGTATTCTCTATATGCCATGAATGACAAATATAAAAATAGAAAGGCAAGAATAAATGGATGATGAAATTTAAGACAATTAAATTTTGAGAAAAAGGGAAATTATACTGCAGATAATAGTATATAGTATAATATTTGATTAACAGAGTATGAACTTAACCACTGGGACAGACCAAAATAAATCTAAGTCTAGAAAGAGACCTAAATGCATGTATTAGGAAACCAATATATAGTAAAACTAATCCTTTTCCTCAGTGGGAAAAATACAGTTTATTCATGAAATGATGACATTCAACACCTAGCTGACTTTAACAGTTGGCATTTGCCGTTGAAAATAGCAAAAAATAATCCTGGCAAGCTTAGGCAGAGACACATTTACAGGAAGAATATTTGGTAGCTCAGTCAATAGGAAACCAGGCTAGAAGCTGGAAACAGAGCCTCCCTTGTGCCGCTCGCCTAGGATGCCACTGTGTTGCTGTCACAGGACTCTAAATCCCACCCATGCCACCATGACTAAATTCTAATAGTCCCTGTGTATGTCTGTCACTATTAAGACTGTGAGACCTAGGCGGAGCCCAGGACATAGCCTCGCATCTTTCCTGCTGGGGATGGGGAAAATGTTATCTGCTCACCATCAGTACTGTGGTGGGAGGCAAGGCACTGTCGCATCAACCCAGACAGGAAGGTGCCCAAATGTTGGTGAGCCAAAAATGACAGATTCCTACTAACATTTGGAGTAACTAAAATTAGAGCCATCCTTTATGATATGGACCAAAATAAATTCTACATGAATTCAGAATGTAAATGTGAATCTTGAGACCATAAAATACTTGAAGAAAATATATGTGAATATTTATCTAATCTTGGGTTGGGAAAGTTGCTTAGCATGAAAAAAAAAAAAAATCAGACAACCATTAAACATGTCAGTAGAGACCATTAACGACCCAGAAGGGAATCAGTCTGTTAGATTAAAGGGGAAAAAAAAAATAGAATGGTATATACCAGAACATTAACAGTGGTTCTCTCTCTCTCTTTTTTTAAGATTTTATTTTATTTATCTGATAGAGATCACAAGTAGGCAGAGAGGCAGACAGATAGAGAGGGGGAAGTAGGCTCCCTGCCGAGCAGAGAGCCCCACATGGGGCCCGATCCCAGGACTCTGAGATCATTACCTGAGCTGAAGGCAGAGGCTTAACCCACTGAGCCACCCAGGTGCCCCAACAGTGGCTCTCTTTAGGTGAACTAGAAATGGTTTCTCCTTTTTTCCTGTTTCAAGTTTGGTTTTCTTTCCAAAACCTGTTACTACTTTTTAAATTTGGGTAATGAGTGAGTTGGTTGGTTGGTTTGTAAGAATACATAGGTGTCTGGATCTTTAGAAGTACATTTCATGCTAAACACCACAGAAGGAAGAATAACTCTTCCAAAAGTGGATAATGAGACAGTTATGTTTAGATACCCCATCTCTTGTTTAAAAAAAAAGAAAAAATGTTCAAATGGCTATTGGAATTTGTTCCATGTGGGGGCACTTCAAAAGGAAGACCTGAATAATTGAATTATGACTTTAAGAATGCCCAAGATCATGATGTTTCTCTTATCTCCTCCAGTGTTTGTTTTTAAAAGAGCCCATCTCCTTGCATAGGAATATACTAGTTTGTCCTCAGGGTATTGGAGTCTAAGGGGACACCTCACAGATGCCAAGATTCTGGAGGTGGTATTTACTGTGGTCTATATTTCACTACCTTATACTCTTACCTACAAACAATGAGCTGCCTCACCATTTCCTGTTGAGGCAGCTGTTAGATTCCCAGTACCTTATTCGATCTTGGATTCCTGTCTCAGTAAAGGAAGCTTAGTATCTCTGGCCTAAGAGATGAGTTGGTTTCTCCCAATGTAAAGGTGAATCTCCCGAATGGAATAAAGAGCTTCTCACAGAAACCTTGATACCAGAGCATGAGGGGAGCCTTTCATGTTCCAGAAAGGCCATCACTGGCACATTACAGAGACAGACCAAGAGATCTGGAGCAGGAAAGAGAACACAGAAATGCCAGCTTGTTCCCCTTCTTGCCACTCAATTGCTTTTCCTCCTTGTAAAAGAAAAATAATCATTCGGGCTTTGAATTTCCTTTGTAAATGCCTATAGCCTTAACTATTAAGAAGATGTGAATCAGTAAACATGATCTCTCTGGGATTTTCTAGTGGAAATTGTCATGATGTAAGAGTTCTTCATAAATATATATGTATGTATATATATATATATATATAT